CAGCCCTGCTCTAGCTTAACCTGGTTTTTTTATCATATTTATATAGCCACCCATTTCACATGAAATTATTGATTCACAGTTTAACACTCATTCAGTTATCCTCAACTTGTGGAAACCAACAATGAATCAGACAGATTAACTAGATGAATTCTCTTAGAAAGTAAATACAAGCTAGGTGAGATGGAACTGCATATTTTTTTAAAAGAGAACTTGTTTTTAATTTATGCCATAAACAATGAGTTGAATCTCACTGTTGTCTGGAGTTTTTCAGGCACAGGCTTGTATTTACAGAAATTTATTCTGAACTTCCTATCTGCAAGCTGGTGCACCTTGGAAGAGTTTTGCACAGAAGTTCCTAGGATTCTCAAGAGTATCTCCAACAGCTATTTCCCAGCACAACTGGAGGATACCAGTTTGGGAAAGAGTACTTTAGATATGCAAATACATTCAGTGCAATAATCATAACAGACCACATGAATCCTGGAGGATAACATTGCATCTGGATTTTAAAAGTTCCAACAGAAAATTGAACGAGGGGAAATCAGCTTCCAATACTGATTTCTACACTGTAAACAATTCTTTCATTGGATAAATAGTGTGTTTATGTGGGGGAATTATACCTTTCTTTTAGACAAAAGGAGGTTTTGTTAACACATGGTAAGCAAAGGATTGGAATCACAGCAAGATTAACTTGTAATGACTTCTGCATAGGAAAGCACATAGACACTGTAATTGTACATCAACAATAGATTTACTAAACTTCTTATCTCTTTTTTTGTACTTGTAAAATAAATACACACATACACACTGGTTCACTAATGGAATTGCCACCAAAAAGCACATTTCACAGCTAATCAGGTCTGTTAGTATAGTGGATTTTTGGATGACCATTCTAAGTACACAAAAGGAAGCAACCAACAAGCTGCCTTGTAAGTACACAATTACGCCCTTTCTTTAAAAAAGGATATTATTCACTTGATAATCTCCAATGGGTTCTTTAAGGACATTACAGCTTATTATGCCAGTCGATATTAGAAGTCCTTTTAGTTTGTAGATCACTGACCTGGTGGAGAGGAATAGTGTCATTTCAAGTGTCACGTTCCCCGCTGATGGAAATAAACAAAAAGAAAAGAAACTCCTTCCGAAGGGTGTGTAAAGAAAAGAAATGTTATCTGTGGCTGCTTTTTTTGTGTCACCTTTTTCAGCAGGCAAAACAGGGTTTAGGTTGTAAGGAAGCAGTAACAACAAATTATCACTATTACAAGTTAATAAAGCTGTTTCTAGAACGATTCTTTCAGAAACATAGTGTGTTAGGAACAGAGAAGATTAAAAACTTGTACATTAACTTCAAGTTACTTCAAGTTTAAATTAATGCTCTAGAGAGCCAAAACCAGACTCCAGGAACTAGCTTAGATTTGTATCTATTCCAAGTATACTCCTTTTTCTTTCACTGCAGTAAATATAAATGCTCCTAGTTTATTATCTTGATGTTCTTTATCACTGTATCTATGTATGCTACTGCAATTATTACTGTATTTTTCTCTTTGTCAACCTAAGTTTAAAATGACACAGTGCCCTAATAATCTTTATATATATAGAGAGAGAAATGCAAGCTGTGTGAAGCGGTGAAGGGTTTTTAGCATATTTTGTGCCTGAATAAAAAAGTACATTTTATTTCATGTATATTCTACCTTTCTCACTGAGACACAAATTCATATAAGGGGAAGGATTATCTCTCATCATTTTATTTCTTAAACAACTGTGTCATAAACTAAGCAAAAAAAGAGACTGATCCAAGTCAGTGATTGTATAGTTAAACTCAGGACTTCTCAGTCCAGAATAACAGATTTCTTGGGACCTTGGAGGTCTTCTAGTCCAACTCCCTGCTCAACAGGAAACACTATACCATTTCAAACAAATGTATATCCAGTCTCTTCTTAAAAACGCAGTGACACAGCACCCACAACTTCTGAAGGCAAGCCATTCCACTGATTAATTGCATGGTCAGGATTTACTTATTTAGCGTATGGAAAATACATGGTGTCAAGCCCGAAATTGTCATAAGTGTAGCCATTTTAGTTTGTCTTAGTATATATTCTTTTTTCTTATTTTCCCTGTGGTGGTCATGGGGGGGGGGAGTTGTGGGCGTGACACACTCCTAAGGTGGGAGGAGTGGAGATAAGGAAAGTGTTATGGCTAGGGTATCTTCTTTCCCATGGGAAATGAGCTGTCTGGGTTTGGGGCCCTTGGAGGTGGAGATTTATGACATCAAGCAACGTTGTATTACTTCTATTGGAGAATGTGACTTTTGGGGGGTGTTTCTAACTTCTAATATTGTGTGGTGATTCTGGGTTGTGTCAGATCCAGAATTACCATGGACTTTACCAATTTGATGTTTTCCTAAATAAAAGAAATCTTTTTGAAGATGGACTTTATTATTTTTCTTTTAACATGGATTTCATTACTTGGGAACCTGACACATGGACGTATAGTAGCTCAAATGTAAATGTCCAATCCATCCCAGCCCTTAAAGGACAGGGCGGTCCATGCTGAAAAAATCAGACACGGTCAGGAAATTTCTCCTTAGTTCTAGGTTGGTTCTCTCCTTGATTAGTTTCTATCCAGCCCTTTAACCCAAGATGGCTGGCAGCAGAACATAAATTCAACAGCAGATTAAGCTAATACAGAACAGTTCCAACTACACACTTTAAGGCAGCAGGCTGATTGCTCTGTCCTCCAATTTCTTGCTGGTAGTTCATTTCTCTGTTGACACTGCTGGCTGGTTGTAGCAACCAATGCCGCACTGCACCATTATGTATCATGGGAACAGAACAACATATACTGTAGGTATTTGTCCTGCTGGTGCATTTGTATTGGTGCCTTTTGACTCATACGTACACAGAAATGCTCTCAGTGATATCATGAAGGAAAGTATTTGGAGAAAGTAAAATTACTGATAGCTAAGTACTTGATCAAAAAAGGAAATATTTAAAGTGGAGGTGAGTCTCAGGGAGATAAGGTGAGAGTGCTACTCTGTCTATGTTGTCATTTGCAACCCAAGGTCCTGCCTTGCCAGTCTTCTCAAGAAAGCAGAACTCTTGAAACAAAAGCCATTTCAAAAGGAACTTGTATTGAAAGATTGTGATAGCAAGAAGATGTAGGCAGGAACTAAGGTTTCCCGCTCAAAATGTTAGAGCGAACAGAGCCCCTCCCAAAGTCCAGTCCATCATCAAGCCAATCCCAAGGTGCAAAGATGTTATGAGAAACTCAGGCCGAGAAGGTGATGAATGCTGGTTCCCAAGGCAACACTGCCACTCTTCTCCAAAGACGAGATAAGGCAGATGGTTCGAGGCACATTCCTTTTTCCTCCCCCTACATTCCATTCCTTTGCCTTTACAGCAAGGCAAAGCAAGGAATAGAAACAAAAGCCCCATGCAGAGATTCCCTGCAAGCCTCCCTCTCCCACCAGAATGACAATGTCCCTATAGGAATCTATGGGACCTAACAGCAATTGCTTTATTCTTTGTGATGGTTGGGCCACTTCTAAGCAATGGACACAGCTTGAGCTTAACTTTGAATACTGTCCACATACCATTGAATCCTATCAACAACTGACCACAGAGTGGTGCATTTTTCAAATTCAGCCCAAATCATCCAAACTCGCAAATTAATGTATCATAATTTATATAAATGGTTACTGACCAAGTTTGGGAAACTGAAGCATGGAAATAAATGAGCCATCTCAACTAGTAATATTATTGCTAGTCGACACTAGGATATTGCTTTATTAAATAAAATAATGAATGCCAATCCCTAAGGACAAGTAAAGAATAATCAGGATAATAAGTGATTTTATAAAATGTTAGCAGTCAATTAGGTTACACTTGATTACAATTGAATTTGATATCTATGTTGCAGTATGTGTTTCAACAAAAAATGTTTTACAGGATAAATATCCTTCAGTTTCAATGGTTTGCCATGGAACTTCCTTGACAGAAGTAATCAAAATTTTAGGAGACCTCAGGTCAACTCTTTCTTAACAGTAATTATGCCTATCAACTCAATGCCTTCTGGATTCATGCACACAAAGCAAAATGGCAGTGTGCCATTTCAACAAATGACTGGCTAAGAAATTATTTTCAATTAACTTTTCAAAACAAGTTGGAAAAGCAAACCATAAAATAAATACCTGATTGTAAGGGCCTCACATGCTCCATGTTCATTTGTGTATCGAAAGCCAGTCTCACTTGTCACCATCTCAAGTGAACAAAAAACAGATATAATAAGATAAGCAGATATAAACACCTCTTGTTTAAAAAAAAAAGTCAAAGAGCAATTTATTCTCAAACTTCATTTGGTACAAGTAATGACTGGAATTCATTCCTATAAAGCTAAGTGCAGAGCAGTAGGAGCAAAGCATATTTTCTAAGATTCCACTCTCCATTATTAATAAGATAGTCATAGCAGAGTATAATGGGGATCTTTCATTAAAAATGCTACTTATACATTTTCTTGGTACATGGCCATCACATCACCTTAATGTTTGGTGCTTTACTGGTATTCTAATTAGAAAAGACTGAATCAATCATATTCCGGTCTATGCCAGTTCAATCTATTGAACCACAATTCCATTCCATTTATTTTTGCAACAAATCTTCCTTTCTTTCTTTCTTCCTTCCTTCCTTCCTTCCTTCCTTCCTTCCTTCCTTCCTTCCTTCCTTCCTTCCTTCCT